GGGGGGGGGCGTCGGCGTGGAGGAAGGGTGTGGAGGGTGGGGTACTGGGATGGTTCGGGTGCCGTTCTTCGACCCGCCGGTCAAAGGAAGCGGCGCAAACGACGGCGGCGGCGGCGGCGGCGGCGTGCCGAGGGGGGGTGTAGAGAGAGGTGATGGGGTGGACCGGGCGCCCGACTTCGAAACGCCGGTCGCAGCAGCAGCAGGAGCAGCAGCATCTAGCGCAAGTAACTCCGGTAAATGCATAGGAGGCGGTAGTAGCAGCCGCAGCAGCAGCAGAAAAAGGAGCGTGGACGGAGAGGTCGGCGGCACACTCGGCAAAAAAGGCGGCGGCGGTGTCGTGAAACCCGGAAAGGAGTAGCGTGGGGAGTCAAGGGGCACGCGGGGATGGGGATTTGTTTGGCCTTGCTCCCCAGGCAACCCGTTTGCGACAGACAGAAAAGGGCGGAGGCTTCGTAGACGAGAAACAACCCCCCGCGGTGCAATAGAAAAAACGGAAATGACGGGCTGGGGATGTTTGTAAATTTGTTTTTAACCCACAGGCCCAGGGTAGCTCCGGCAAGGCCTGTAGCCTGAGTTGGTTTCTTTCTCCCCAGGAGTCTGACGCGGCACACCGTTCGGAGCAAGCACGTAGTGCAAGTGTATTGCCGGTTTTTGACTTGCTCTGAAGCCGACCTCGGTGTTTGCCCAAGAGGTTAGGGTGAGGTGGCTCACCGTCTGTAACATGCACGTTGATTTGAGAGCAAGTTTATTACTGGGGTTAAACTTGCTCTGAAGCCCGCCTCGGTTTTCGTCTAAGAGGTTACAATAGTGTGAGGCGGCAGACCACAAAACAGAGTTGTTGTAGTTTGTCAAGCTGGCGGTCAAGTGTTGAAACGGATGCAACCCTGTCTGGGGGAACCGACGTCCACGTTTCTCACCCGTCTCGTGGTCCTTGTGTAAATAGTGCGTCGCAGGGAGGATCTGGGCAAAGGCGCCGGCATCAATTCCATTTTGGCGGGGCGTAGAGCCGTGCGGTTTGTTGACTTTCGTAGTTTCCTGACCGCACCACACGACGACGGCGTCGTCGTTCGGAAATCGCGGCAAGTCGTGCATGCTGCTTTCATGACAGCAGGAAAGATGGTGTGTAACGCCCGCGTCGACGAGGGTGTCATTCTGCAAGCGGACTCGATTGCTTTTCGAAACAACAACGCTGTGATTGTTGGCTGGGAATTTAGCAGACGCTGGGGTCCCTGACAAACCTGGAAGCGTGTGCGGCTTCGATTTCGAATACCAATGATTTTTTTGTGTGGACGAGGTTCCTTTTTTTGGGAGCGTAGGCAGGTGACCACTGCGAACGACGGAACGACGGCATAACAGATGCGGCACGATGACATGGAGATAGCATACGTGGAAAGTTTGTCGGCCGAAGACAAGGGGGGCTATGATATTTAACGCCGATCGCACCGTCCTGCACAGAGACGATCGGTACGAGCACGAAGCACTGACACTTCACAAACAAGAACATCCCGACCAGAACGACATATGACACAACCGTGAACGACGGTGATTCTCAGGGTTGAGTTTCGGGAAAACGCGGACAAGACCAAGGCGAGTCGTCCCGTGGAAAGTTGCATCATTGCCACAACTGATCATCCGTTATAAGCATAGGTGTCAGTCGGGCGCACTCGTTGTTCCGCTCATCGCCTTCCCTAAGCAGCACTTTAAGCGAGAAACCGCTAATAGCAGCAGCAAAGACAGAGGTAGGTTCTGGAATGTCGCCAGCACTATTATGGCTATTTAGCTTCTTCGCTTGCTCGCTCGGAAGTCGAAAATCTCACCAAGCAACGAGGTGTCCACCTCCGTTGCACTCGTGGTGGTAGCACAGAGGGAGAAATACATCCGCCGCTCTGCTCGAAATCACGGCAGTCCGCGCCGCCTTCTCCGCCGGCAACCAACCCAAAATTTTGTTACAATTGTACTCCCCGCGGCAATAATGTTGTGACTAAATAGCTACCTCGTAAACCACAGCAGTCTTGGCGAGTAAAACCTTCAGTAAACCTTCTCCACGTTAAGGGCAGCAAGAAAACAACTCCAAAAACGCAGAAACCACTTCGGAAACCATTTTCAAACACGTAAGACCACAATCCACACCAAACACAATTTCAAACGGAGACACAACATTAACATTCCTCCTCTCCGACAAGTTACTTGTAAACTAATTCAGCCACATTGATTGAGCCGTATACGCACGCGTCAACAACGCCCCTCCCCCCGGATCACCAGTCTGCTTGCTCATTTGACGGCAAACCCTCAGCTCCGGGCTTGCGACCGGCTGTTGCCACCACCTCCTTCAGCCGTCGTCGGAGCACCTGACCAGCAACAACACGTGTTTTACACAACTTGTCGGAAGCACTTTACCGAGGACGTCGCCGAGGTGCTTTTTCTTCGTGACAGTTTCATGGCGACTAAAAACAAGAGAAAGACGAGCCTCCTGATTTTGCGAGAGTGCCCAACTGCACGTTCGTTGCCAGATTTGGTTTGAAGATCACTGACACATGTTTACAAGAGCACCATGCCAGCACTTGTAAGAGAAAGGTGGGGATGTGCGTATGAATGGATGACAAAGAGTTTTCCGTCCAACCCGAATCTTTCACGTCTGCCGTGAGCCTTGAGGGGCGGGCTGCAGGTACTGACTCTGCATCTCGCAACGGACGCTAGTAGCGGGGCTAATCGCAAAGAACGGCGAAAGGCAAGCACTTGTTTTTCAGGGCTGTCTTTTTTCTATGCTTTTCTCCAACAATGATAGATCCTCCTCCTTTGGTCCTGCAGCAAACACCGATCCACACGGACCAAGTCACGATGCTCTCGGAAGGCTATGCTCCCTCCCACTGTTAGGTAACCGCACCGCAATTGTACTATAACCGTAACCGTAACCGTACCGTACCATACCGTACCGTAACCGTTGCCGTACCTGCGGAAAATCCGCCAAGTCCTTGAAGCTGGGGAAGTAGTTGACGTCGATGACGAAGGTCTCCCCCGTGACCCGGTCCACGATGAGGTCGAACCCGAACAGCGACAGTCCGAAGGTCTCCCTCATCCTTCTCGCCGCAAGCCTTGCGGCCTCCAACGACAAAAAAGGCGACTTTGCCCTCGCCGCCGGCAGCGTCGCCGCCGCCGCCGCCGCCGCCGCCTCCGGCGATACCGCTGGGCTAGGGGACGGCTTCGCTCTGCTCGGTTGCCGGGACGACGATGGCGACGACCATGTTGTGGTCGTCGACGCCGATGCTACTGCTCCCGTCGGCGTACAAGCTGAAGTCTGTCGGATGTCCGGGTCCCTGTCCCTCAGCCCCTTCGGTTGCGGGAGCGGCGGCTTGCTGCTACTCCCGGATCTCTCTCCGTTCGCTTGACGGACTTGTCCCGGCACCTCCTCTGAGGACGATGTCGGGTTTGAGTCATCGCCGTTGTTCCCGGCGGTGTGCGGTTGTCCTTGCAGCCGAGCCGACCTCGCTCGCGTCGCGGCACTGGCAGCCTTGACCTTGAGAAAGGAACGACAAGCAAGCAAAACTAGTCGTGCTTAGGTGGCACTTCATGTTTGTTCCTTACATGTCAAAACAACGTATATTTACCCTGGCCGTCACAACGTGGCGCGAGCTGGTGGGTGTAGATTTCCTTCATTTTGGGCAACGGCAGTGCCACCCGCGTTGCAAGTCCACAACAAGCAAAAAAAGTTTGACAAAGGTGCTCCGCGCAAATCGATGGTACCCCGCGTAAGCCCCCATGATCGGTTGCCTAGCGCACCATCTGGTGCACACCTTGATCACTGCTGGCGCTCCTCACACAGATGGCTACGTGCCATGAAACCTGCAGGATACCTCAAGCATGTTGTGTACCACACGCGCAGGTATTTGGTTTGGCCTAGTTTCGCTCTGAACCTGGCAAATGCCGTGCTATCACAAGTGAAAGAGCTGCTGCTTCAAGCCCGTGGCGCAGCTCTTAGCGCCGGACTTCACGCTGCTACCCACGGGCAAAGGAGTTAACGAACTCGCTCGAGACTTCGCCAGAGTGCACTACACAGGCATAGGTAGCGTTGAGGGGTTGGCCAAATTTGGGATCGCCACCACGAGAGTCGTTCCAGTGAAGCACTCTATCGTCCATGTGTAGACCAAACACGCCCAACACGTCTACCTCCAATTTTGTTCGAATTCTCCGGCAAATTCCCCCGCGATTTGACCTTCAACGCTCTATCCGCGCTCAAAGAACGATCCCGTCCAATTTGTTTTCGGCATCACGCTGTAGAGACATGCCTAAGGGTTGCTTTAGAAGGTTGGCCACTTTTTGGATCGCCACGACAGACGGAGTTGTTGACGAATAACGGCCTGTCCCATAGGAATTCGGCGGCTGTGGGGGCTCGGCGTGATCGATGTCTTGTCGTGAAAAAAAAAAAAAAACGTTTTCTGGGGGACTTGCAACACGGGTGGTGCTTCCTTGTCAAGAGCCAACCCGAACCTAACCTGAACGCTACTGTTGAGGGACGCAAGCCTCGTCAAATGAGAATGTACCGCAAACCCGAAATATGGGGCGCTTCGGGGTGGACTCAAGCACTCTCCTCCTGTTTTCTTTCAGTAGCCTACACGCAGGTTTCAAACAGATTGGATCATGTCCGGCATCAGTGGGATTTCGGGGTGTTTCGGTCAGGGATAGACGTACCCTGCCGCTCGATATCATACTTGAAGCATACATATGCATACATCAACTCAGTTTCTTTGCGCAGACGGTCTGCTTCTTCCTAGGGTGAGGGGCCCCGCGGAAAATAAACAACTCGACTCGCCACTTGGATTATGAGGGGCCGAGAAAAAAACTAACACCCGTCGGACAGAACAACAACCAGCGTCGGGGGCTAACATGCACGCGGAGGTGCGTCCGACGGAACATTTGTTTTTCAGCGAGACTCACCTCTTCTAGTGTTGGGTAAGGCCTCTGGCTGTCGAACACGAAAGAGCCCGTCAGTCCGGGAGGAAGGTCTGGCAAAGAAGGCCTCTCGTGCACACGGACTTCGTCTCCTATAACACACACCTTCAAGAGGGGGGGGGGAGG